CCGAAAGGTATAAGGTAGCAAACTTAAAGCTATGTTTGGTTTGAAGGAAAAGGTGGAAAAGGAAGGGAAATGTAGGAACACTTGTACAAGGTTTATAAAGGTTTCTTTACCTTTTCCTTTCTTTTCCTATTTTTTCCTTCAAACCAAACACACCATAAGTGATGCACAATTAGACAATTTAACAATTGGGTTGAATGCCCAAAGGTAAAACTTAATTGCTTTTATGGAAAAATCTAATATTCTAAATTTAATTCAAATAGTAGTAATTCTTGATTCCTTTGATATTACTGTAATTCCCATTTGGACGGTGAGAATTATGTAGAGCGGAGCGAAATGCTCCACATAAGCTTGGGGTGCAAGGGAAAAGAAAAAAAAAACTGTACTTAATTTCAATGCATCTCAAAGAGAGAGAGAGAAAGCACTTAGATGATTGGGAAAGATCTAACTGAATATGCAAATCTATTGTAAAAGCCCACATAAACAAAGGATAAGAGGTGTGATTCCTAAGAAGGATACCGTGGCTAAGTATCTTGCAACCATTGAATATCATTATGTTGCCTCAAAAAAAGGTGGTCTCACAGACATTATTGAACACATTGGTTAACATGAGATTAGCCTATTTGAAATTTGTGAGAAACCATATTCTAGAAATGAAGGACATAAGCGACAAGCTCAATAGCCTTAGTGTAACTGTTATAGATCCTTTATTCTAACCTCCTTGCCAATTAAGTACAAACCATTTAAAGTGTGATATAATACTTAAAAGGAACCCTGAAGCTTCAATAGGCTCCTAACCATGTGTCTCCAAGAAGAGGAGAGGCTTAAACAAGAGAGGTTAGACAGCTAATCTTATTACGAAAGGTGAAAAGAAGAGGAAAACCCCTATTCAAAAGAACAAGGGGCACAAAAATACTAATGGAAAGCCAAACATCAAGCCTACTAGCTTCTTCTATAAGAAGAAGGGCCATTTTTGAAGTGATTAAAAAGGGTTTAAGAGCTAGCTAGAAAAGAAGGGTCATTGTTGGGAGTTGTTAAATTGATTAGCTTCCATGTCTTAACACAACCATGTACGTGGTTCTGTCGATCCCTTGGCCCAATAGAACCCAGGTTCAACGGTGGGTGTTTTAGAAGTTTTGTTATTTGGTATTCTTTTTGTTGTCTTAATTAAATGGGAAAATTCCCGATAGGTACCCTATACTTTAGGCTGAGTGTTATTTTAGTACCTAGACTTTAAAACGTGGCAATTTAGTATCCGAATTTTTGAAATGCGACAATCTAGTACCTATCGTTAATAAATTGTCAGTTATATATATCACGTGACCTCATGTGTGATTTAAGATTTTTAAAAATGTCAAAAGTACCCTTGAACACTGTTCATCATATTCTTTTTGAAGAAAATGAAAGAGAGCCCAAACTCGATCATCATTTCATGATGTAAATCCAAGAACCCAAAATAAAGGGCTCACCGCTTGCTATCATCCAAGAGCCGAAATAAAGGAAGGCAGGAAGCGACAAACCCATGTAGAGTTTGTCGCCTACAAGCGACGACGTCAAATGCAAAGTGCAGACTGTGAGTTCATAGGTTTTCGTCTGTATTTGTAATCCAAACACTCAAGAGCAGAAGGAAAATCTCAGCACTCAAGAGCAGACTGAGATTTGTGTGCGTCGTGATGGAATGTTTAATATTAGCATATTTTGTTTTCGTTTCTATCATGTAAGAAGATAAAGTCAGTCAGAAAGCCCTTATCCTGTGATTTTTGATGGAGTTTTCTTGCTGTTCTCCCAAGTAGGTCCTTTCTTGACATTCAAATTTATGTTCTTAACTCAACTAAGACTTGCCTCAACTATATGGGGTCGATGGCATGAATTATGTTCTACCATTCCATTCTGTTCAGTGCTAGATCTATAAACTTGTATGATCTTTTGTCCCTATCCAAAAACTTGTATGGTCATTTCTTTTCATTGCTGCTGTAGATGGTCTTCTTTGCAACCCATCAACATGTGTTGGGTTCTGACAGTCTTCTTCAAGGAGACTTTTGCTTACAAGTGTCCATTGTCTTTTGAAAAGAATACAAATACAAATCAGGGAGACCAAACAGACATTAACTGGATCTTTCTATGCAGATTCCAAACTAGCTAATAATTAATGTAGGATTTAATTTCAACCCCCAGACTTTCCATTGAGACATCTGAGGGAGACTTGACTTGCACAGAGTTTGATTTTAATCATCAATGGAACTGGTTTTGGACTTGGAAAAAAAAAGAAAGAAAATTCAGATCCGTTTTAACTTTTTAACGCAAACTAAGTTTGTATATTTTGTACAGTGTTAGATCCTGTTGGAAACATGTTGGAAGGAGATACTGACTCGTGTTAAAATTCTATGATATGGATAAAAATGGACTTTATAGTCAAATTTCCAAGTCTTCAAAGTTAATCTCCATTCTGGCACACATCAGACTTTGTTCCAAATTCTTCATTGTATGTACACGGACAATATATGACTTTATGATCTTTACTACAATCAAATGCATAAGGATCTTTCTATGCAACTTCCAACTATCTGCATCAACAATCAAGCGAAAGGAGAGATTGGAGTGGTTGTGGGGCATATGCACTTGCTGACTGACTTGGGTGTTATTATTGGTTAAACAGTCCTGAACACAGCCATCAAATGCAGCTAAATCTGACTTGGGTTGATATCAACCCTAGACCAACCTAATGTGCTAGAACCTCAACCCTATAATCTTAAACCTACCTGGCTTCCTCAAGGTTTTCAACCATAAAATCAGGTTTGGGTTAGAACCTTATTTATAAAGTTCTATCTATCTATCTAATACATGAAGTTGATATATAGACATTATCATATTATGTTGAAATTTTACAATGAATTCATCCTTCATCATCATCCTCCCTCTTCTCTCTCTCTCTCTTTCTTAGATAAATATAATATTTTTATGGGGAATCTATGTTATTGGAAAAGACATGGTACCGAAAGATGTTTAAATCAAAGTACCCTGTGAATTTGATGAATACCACCTGATTGGTCACTTATTTTATGATACCGATTGATTGGCTGTAAATTTTTTGAGTAACATGTCTTTCTGGTATCATAATCAAACCTTACTTCATAAATAAGCCAATATATGTATCATAAGTAATGGACACGAATATACAGTTGCAGGTGAATTCATGGGGCTCGGGTTGCATTTAAGTTATTGGGCCAACTCAAATTGCATCCCTTGAAGGAAAAGTTCATTGAATGAGGGTTCTGGCTAAGCCGATATTTTAATGGTTCTTATGTCCATAAAAACTATCAAAATGGTTATCAGAAAGCCCACTGAATCACCAATTACCACTTTAACTTCCAGTCTGATTCATTGATTCAAGCTTGATGAAATATCACTCAATTGATTACCACTTTTATGATACTGATTCATTGGTTACAATTTTTTTCGATAACATAATCGATCCCTTAATTAAAATAAGATAATGTTAGATTATTTGTATGAAAGATCTCACTTATGTCCCACAATTATCTTGGAGGACTTCTTTTCTACGTATTAGTACAGTTGAATGAAGAATTTAAATATTTAATTCAATCATACAGATGTTGTGGGTCCAAAATGGCTTCAACTTTTATGACAAAAACATGTGGATCTTTCTATGCAATTTCCAAGCTAGAAAAGTAGCTATATATAAACGTATTGATTCCGATTTAGGAGTGAAGAAAAAATGGGTCAAGGTAGCCTCAACTCAGATAGGATCGGCTCTAGCTACTTCTATCCAATTTTTTAAGTTGCATTTAATTAAGAACCAAATGTGCTGCGTGATGTCAACTTCCAAAAGGTCTACCACCACTACAGTGGTGTAGAACTAAGGTCCTGTTTGGGTTATGGGAATAGGGGTCCGGAATTAGAATCGGAATGGATAAAATCGGCAATCCTGTTCTCATTCATAGTGGAATGACATTCCCCCATTTGAGGGAATAGCCATTCCCTTCCTCTTCCTAACTTGAAAGTGAAATCCCATTCCAATTGATTTAAATTCCTGTTTGATTCAACTAAACTACGGAAATAAATCATTCAGATTCTGATTTTGAAAGATTTCGATTCTCAACTGGAAACCAAATGAACCCTAAAAAATTGCACATTTTGATTTAATTAGATTTTGCTTTCAACTCTTCAATTCCAATGCCTGACGTCTCGAGTTGTTTGGCTCAAAAGTGACTTGTTTCATTTAAAAAGGTTGCACCAACAAAGCAACCGTGAAATTAAAAATGGAAGGGGAGATGGGCGCGCTCTCAAAAGTTCTGAAATCGAAGTAGATACAATCATACAAAACCAAATCCTGACATTCTCACAAGTTATTTGAACTTCCAAATTAAATTTAAGAAGGTTAAGTCACAAGTGATTTGCATTTGTGCATGTATTTAATAAATTGTGGTAAATTAGTTACCATCACGAGGAGGATTATATCATGCATCACTAATGGTAAATTAGTGATTTTGTATTGACCTTGAAATGAAAGAAAATATAGACAGATAACTTAAATTCTACAACGAAGATCTACATAGTAACCAAATAAGCGTTAAATGAGGCCTGATTTTGGTGGTGTACATAAAACGCGAAAGGATCATGTACAATTAGTGGATGCATAAGATGATGAAACCTTAATTATAATAATGAAACCGTACTGTGGAATATGAGGCAATTAATTGTATATTAATTGAAGGAACAACACACATGGAGTTAGATGGGATTGTTTCTTCAGATAGATTTTGAGGATTTTGCTTTCAATGTGTGGTAAGATAGCTAACTTGCTATTATTCAATATTCAAATTCTGATTGAAAAGATTAATTAGAACTAATGGTTTATTAAGTTCCTTATCTATTGCTCATACTACACATTGTAATAACAAGTGCTTATATTTATAACATACATACAATATTAAAAGACTTGTATATTGCCAGCATCATGAAACAACTCCTTGTGTGAAACATTAGACTCTTCCAAATTTTAATTTTCTTTGCAGGCGAATGACACTCAATGCAATTACTATGAAGACCCAATCTTTCATATCATTCAAGAAATTGAAATAGGCGTGCCTCCATGACTTCTTCAAGAGTAAAGTGCCACAAACTCCCCAAAAACCGACCACAAATCCTGGGAGCATGCTTATATAAAACCATTGCATCTCAGAATCAGAAGAGTCCTTGTCTTCACTACCAGCATTAACAAGGGATGTGGGACCTTGAGAAGGTTTCTCATCATCCTCACACTTCCTTGAAAGTGGCGACCCACAAAGATAGGGATTACCATTATAAATGGAAGAATCGTTGAGTGTTTGGAGCTGGTTGCCTGATGGGATCCTCCCTGATAGGTTGTTATAAGAAAGGTCCAAATGATTCAAGGAAGATATGGAAGATAAGCTTTGAGGGATCTGGCCAGAAAGTTGGTTTCTTGAGAGATCAAGAGTTTCTAACCATTTCAAGTCACCAATCTTATCGGGGATGTTTCCTGTGAGTTGGTTCATTGAAAAATTCAATGTTCCTAATCCAGAGAGGTTTGTGATTCCATCAGGAATCTTCCCTGATAGATCATTGCTGGAAAGATCTATGCTCTTTACAAGGTCTAGAATTCCATATGTATTATACTCAACTTCTCTTCCTTTTGCTATTATCATCATGTGTTGATCATACCCCTGATACCGAAGACGTTTAGCGTAAGGAAGCCATAAACCATTGAAAGCACTCAAATTGCCAAAACACAGAGGAATGGGACCTGACAGATTATTATGAGCAAGGTCTAAGAAATGAAGAGAAGAGAAATGACACAGTTGTTTTGGAATATCTCCCACGAATGAGTTTGACCGTAAGCGTAGAAACACCAAGGGAGCACTGGTTTCTCCGATCAATGTCATCAAGTTTCCAGAAAATTTATTCTCACCAAGATCAAGGCTCATTAAAGATGTGCAACTTTTCAAGGACGGTAGCTCCCCGTTAAAGCTATTGTTACTCAATATCAACCATTCAAGTGAAGCCAAAGAACTGAATGAACTTGGAATAGTACCCGTTAGGCTATTGTTGGCCAAGTCTACAATCGACAGTTGCTGTAAATCCTCCCAATCCCAAGGGAGCTCACCAGATAATTGATTATTTGAGAGAATAAGAAGTCTTAGGGATTCTATTTTAGTTATGGAAGGGGGAATGCTGCCACTTAAATTGTTCCACGAAAGATCTAACAAAAGCAAGTGCAATGAAATGTTGCCACCAATATCGGGTGGTATAGGACCGGAGAACAAGTTATTTCCCAGATGTAGAGATCGTAATGGTGAAGACCAAAATTGCCGAAGTGGTAGTTGGCCCTCTAAGCGATTGAAGCTTAAATCCACTTCCGATCCCTGTTGAAGGACGGAGGAGTTTGGCACCTTTCCAGTTAATTTGTTGTGAGAGAGATTCAACAGTCGTACAGACTTTGACAATAATTTCCAAAACCAAGTGGGTATCTCATCGGAAATCCCAACATTTGTTAAGGATATGGAAGAAAGCTGGTTTTGAGTATGAAGCCATGAAGGAAAACGAGGGCCCAGTTGTAAGTCAGACACAACGAGATACTTGAGATTGAAAGGAGGAACCCAATCGTTTGTCACATTGAAAACCAGTGACGACTTTCCTGATGAAGAGGATATGAATAATGCCTCTAACCTTGTGAGGTTTGTAAAATGATGTTCTGAAAGAACACCTTCCCAAGAATTGTCATGGAGATACAAGTAAACCAGACCTGAGAGCTGCCCGACCTTTATTGGAATGGCCCCATTTATTTGATTGTATGAAAGGTCTAGCTTCTCTAACAATGACAAGTTTCCGATGGATGCAGGCAGAGGACCGGTAAATTGATTTTCAGAAAGGTCTAGGCTGTCCAAAGAGGACAAGTTTCCAATGGATGCAGGCAAAGATCCATTAAACTGATTAAAACTTAAGTCTAACATCTTTATCCTTTTGCATCTCACCAGGATATCCACAAGTTTGTCTACCTCACCACCAATTCTGTTACCTGCCAAAACTAAACTCTGCAATCGGCAAAGAGTTTCCTTGGCTTTTGGTGGCATACTCTGATCAATAATGTTGAGATTGACAGACAAATTAGGATCTTTGGGACGATTGTAGCCAAAATCAAGATTAACAAGGCTACTGACATTAAGAAAGAATGGAAGTATTGAGATGTTGAGAGAGTTAAAGGAGAGATCAAGGTCCAAAAGGGATGTAAGATTAACGAATGGGGGAGAGAGAGGAGTGCTGTGAAGTTGACAATCACCCAACTTTAACTCTTTAAGAGAACCAAGCTTATTAATTGATTGTAGCCAATTTGTTCCCAGTTTGCTCATATCCACAGATCCCATGTTAAGGTACTCCAAAGAAGACATACCCAAGAGCCAATCAAGGCAGTTGACATTCAATTTGTAGAAAGGAAATAACCGTGTTGAAAGATCTAGATGACGCAAGTTGGAAAGGTTTCCAAGATGGGAAGGAATTGTTCCACTAAATTGAGCATAAGAGAGATTGAGATATCTCAACTTCTTGAATGATCCAATGAAATTAGGGATAGGGATCCCTCCAAAATTGTTAGTGCTCAGATCTAAGTAATTCAAATGTTCCAAATTGAGCAAAGGATTTAATGGCTCACCGACTAAGGATGACAATCCCCAGCTCCCATCTTGGCATGGGTCGCCCAGGTCAAGCTGGACCACACGGCCAGTCCTATTGTTGCAACGGATGCCTCTCCAGCTACAGCAGTCATTACCCACCCAAGAAGAGAGGTCGCCACATCGATCTGTCAGGTTTTCTTTGAAGTCGAGGAGTGCTGCTCTCTCCATCTCCATACAACCCACCTTGTTATCACTGTGGTCGCAGGAACAAGGTTTTACAGTTTCGAGGAATGGGAACCCTGATAACATTATGAAAAGAAGAAAAACAAGTTGAAGTTGAAGGGGCGTGACGCCCATGGTTATTATTATTTCCACACAATCCCTCTCGCCTCTCACCCAGTGGCAGTGGAAGACTGGAAGTAATGGACGTTTCTTGACCTCAACTCACCCAGTGGTAGTGGAAGAAAATGTGCACACCTTAGTCTCTGTACAGGTGCCATGCATACAAATGTTTCTCCGGAATGACATCAGATCAGACTTTACCTTGTGAACCAGAAATTAGTGTAGTCCAAGAGACTAGGATTAGGATTAGGAATTTAGGATATCTACAACAATCAATAATTCTTTGCAACTTTCCACGACCAAGACATCTTAAACTTCACGGCGACGTTTAGAAATTAGAATGAATCTGAACTATATATATATATATATATATATATATATGTTAGTCCGGATTGAAACTTCTTGGATATGAGGAGTGAGGAAAATATGTGACTCTTTTTATTTATTTATTTATTTGATAATATAATCTTTTTATCAGTTACCAATTTTTTCTGACGTATTTATTTGATAATATAATTTTTTCTCCCAAGTATCTTGGCATTCAAATTTATGTTCTTAACTCAACTAAGCCTTGCCTCAACTATATGGGGTCGATTGCATGAATTATATTCTACCATTCCATTCTGTTCAGTGCTAGATCCATAAACTTGTAAGATCATTTCACATTACTTCAGCCCATGTCTTTTTTGGTTTGTCCCTATTCATAAACTTGTAAGATCATTTCTTCTCATTGGTGCTGTAGATGATCTTCTTGGCAACCGATCAACATGTGTTGGGTTGTGACAGTCTTCTTCAGGGAGACTTTTGCATACAAGTGTCCATTGTCTTTTGAAAAGAATACAAATACAAATATGTAAAGTGCAAATCAGTATTTTAAAAGCACGGTTCCAGGCGAGGGGTTCCCTAAATTCCCTAAGGCGTATTCCAGAGGCGCTGACCCCTTTGAGGTGTATGTCTTGTGCACTTTATTCATGACTAGAGGCGTACACATCATGCGCCCCATGCACATCTCATATAAAAAGACTGAAAAAAAAAAGAAAAAAGAAAAAGAAGGTAAGGAAAGGAAAAGAAACGAAAAGGAAGGGAAAGAGGAAGAAAGAAAGAGAAAAAAAGATAAAAGGAAAGGGAAGGGAAGGGAAGAAAAGATAAGGGGAAAGAAAGTGGTTTGCCCTCGGCTCCTTTGGTTGGGGGATCTTCACCCCCCTCAAACCCCTCAGACCCCCCCATGTCCCCATCCCCCTTTTCAGTGCAGCCCAATTTGTTTTTTTCTGTGCATGTGTTCGGGGGGGGGGGGGGTCTTGCTTCGTTTCGGTTTTCTCACTTCACTTATCGCCTCTGCTTAGACAAGACCTCCCTTTCAACTATTGTTGTGCATCTTTATTTTTCTTAGTATAAAAGATTTTTATTAAAAATAAAGAAAAAGTGAGATCCCCCTTCCTCTTCTTCCTCCCCTTCATTTTCTTTCTTCCTCTTGACCCCATCTTCTTAAGGAGGCTTACGCCTCCTTGTTTTTGGGAGGCTTATGCCTCTTATGTTCTAAACTATGCCTCATGCATCCAAATAGTGGAATGGCTCACGTCATGCCTCCACGTTTTAAAATATTGGTGCAAATATATACAGAATAATACAAAAAACAAGGTTTTGCACTCTACATATTTGTATTTGTACTCCTTCCAAACACAGCCAAATGATCATCTAAGTAATAATTTTTTTTATCAGCAACATCTAAGTAATTATTACTGATCTAGTATGATGCTAGCTTATCTACATAAACTTTTTAGGTTTATTTATGCATCTCTATTGGTTTGTGCTGATATAATACACAGCACATGAACTTTTTACTAGTCTTATTATTTAATGGATGTGTCCCAGAATCCTTTTTTTTTTTAATATTGTCAAGTCAGATTCTTGGAGATATGTTAGATTCTGCGCCCGTTTGGGAGGGCTGAAGTGCAGCAACTCTCCCCATATGATTTTTATTTGCACCAATAATATCCTACTAATGTTTAGTAATTTTTTTAATTTATATCTTTATTTTAAAGCACTCATATTTTTGGCAGAGGATGGATTATTCTAGCAAGAGCAGAATAGGACACTATGGAGAGATTGTTCTTGTGAAATTAAGAATGGTTTTTTGGCTGTAGCAAAATTAATGAGGGGTTGAAACGTAAAAGTTTTGTAAGAATATCGTTTTAGTTGGTTGGTTCTGAAACATTGGGTTAAAAGGGAAATTCTATAAAATAGTTGTAAGGTGAGTAATACCACTAGAAAAGACATGATAAAAAATGAAGTGATTTGAAGGAATAGTAGCTCCAGTAGGCAATAAAATGAGAAAAAGTCAACTTGAACACCTTAGTTACGTGCATAGAAGACCATCTAGTAAGAAGTGGTTTGTTACAAGTTTAAGGGGATAGAAGAGCTTGGATTGAAGTAATAAGAAATGATTTTAAGTGTTCATAATTTTACAAAGGATATGGAACTAATAACAGAGTGAAGTGCCAAACAAGATTCAAGTAGCCAATCCCAAGGGAAAAGAGGTTCCATTTATAGTTATTTTTTTTTATAAAACATTATTTTTGTGCCAACAAGTAGTGTGTTCTTGGATAATTGCATGGATAACTTCCAAGGTTGTTATTTTTTTTTTTTTGTAAGAGAACTATACTATTACTCGAAAATGTGCATGTGCACGTGGCAATTTTGGCATGTTGATGATGACAATGCTAATAATATACATCTATTTTTTTTAATTTTCTTTTATATTTTTGTATACGAAATAATACTTATATATCACACTTATTTTTGTTTAATATAAATGAATATATAATAGCAGAGATATATCCAACTATTTTCTATATTTTCTTTTATTTTTTGTTTATTTCTATTTTAAATATGACATCATGGGTTTACTTAATTGCCGTGGAATAAAGGTTTTATTTTTGGGTCTGTTTAAAAAGACATGGATTTTATATTGTTAAATGTATTGGATATAGATTTAATTAGTAAAATTTATTGGTGAGAAGAAAACACTTTAGTCATAAGATTTAATAAGAGGGAATGAAATGAGATGAAAAATAGTAATTCAAATTGCATGATATGCCCTTACAATTAGATAATTAAAGAGGGACTAATTTAAAAAATAAAGATGTTTTAATCAATAAGAAAAGCTTCACAAACTCATTTTTACTTTTAGCGGTAGGATTACTGGATTAATAGATTAATAGGGTTAGGTCGATGTACAACCATTGTGTAGAACCATGAAGATGTACATTTTGACGTTACTTGATTCTGCTGGCATCGTGCCAATGCCTGACAAGTTCTTTGACTACAAGAGTGACTTCTTTCTGGCAAAACATCTGTGGAATTAGAAGATGTAACGGGAGATAGACCTTCAAATGTTTTTGAACTATAAATCAGAGTAGGTGCATAATGAAATGCAGACATTTCTCATAACTTATTTAAACTTGTAAATTAAATTTGAAGGTGAAGTGATTTGCACATGGTTTTAAAAATCAGACTGGAAACAGAATCATTTTGGCCATCAGTTCCTGGGTCAAATGGAGATATTTTTAGTATTGACCATGAAATATTGAAAGAAAATGGAGATCAGTAGTTTGATTACATTCTTGATTAATGGATGCATAAAACGAACCTAATTATAATAATGAAACCATGTGTGGAATATGAAGCAATTATATATTGAATTAGATGGGGTTGTTTCTCAAGATAAGCTTTTGGGAATTTTGCTTCAATGTGGTCAAATTTTATTTTGAAAGACAAGAAATTTCATGCATACCAAATTCAGTATTCAAGTTTTGATTGGAAAGATTATAACAAATTAATGATTTACTAATTTCCTCATCTTTTGCTCATGGTACTCATTGTAACAACAAGTGCTTATATATACACAATATTAAAAGACTTATTCCCATTTTGAAACAACTCCTTGTCTAAAACATGCAACCCTTCCAAACTTCATTTTTCTTCGCAGACGAGCAACACTGGATGTAATTACCAGGAAGTAAAGTGCCGCAAATTTTCCATAAACCGACATCCACAAATCCTGGGAGGATGCCAATGTAATAAACTGAAGAAAGTTGATTTTGAGTGTGAAGGCATGGAGGAAAATCAGGGCCCAATGTAAGCAATGTTTTTGACAACTGACCATGGCACATTATCAATTTAAATAAAACATAAATATATATCTGTATATATGTATAATGTATTACATATAATATATGGAACTTATATTTTTATTTATAAAAATTGCTAAAAATTGATATTTAAAGCCAAAGAAAGAATTTTTTTAACGAAAATAACTGGGCAAGACACCTTTGGCAGCTTTGAGAGCACTCAGATCTTGAAAAGTTACCTAAAGTAAAAAAAAAAAAAAGAAATATCACCCCAATGGGACAATAGAGAACAGAGTTATGGATTTCAGAAGTTTGTATATTCTGTATACATGTAGTGTGTAACCCATGACCTGAAGATCAGGTCAAAGGATCAACAATTCAACCACCTGGGATGAATGGGTTTTGACTAAATCGATTTTTGGTAAAATCCCAGATTTTAGAAAAACTAGATCCAGAAACTAGACCCAGTGATGATTCAGCTGTCCAGGTCAATAGTGGGTTCAAAATACTAATTGTAAGTCAGTCATTTGAAGATAGTTGAGATTAAGAGGAACCGATCATTTGTTACGCTAGAAATCAATGACTTTCCAAACGATCGAAGAGGATATGTATATAATTCTTCTATCCTCACGAGGTTTATAAAGTGATGGTCTGAGATAACACTATCCCTAAAGATGTCAAGATAATCGAGTTTGAGAGCTGTCCAATATTTAGTAGAACGGATTGATGCATTAATTCGTTCATTCAATCACAGAAAAGGCTTAGCTTCTCCAAAAATGACAAAGTTTCTGATGGATGCAGGTAGCTAGAGAAGAACTAGTAAAATGATTCTTGAAA